CGTTCAAGCTCTATTTTCGATGGCTTCTGAGTGCTTTACTTTGGAAAATCTCAAACATGAAGGTCCGGAGGAAGGGGCAAGAGAAGGATGTTTTCGACTAGTCGTCAAGCCGACGAAAGAAAGTAGGTTTCTTTTGGGAGTTTGTTGGATTTTTCTTGAGTTTATTGATGATAGAGGATTTTTTTGAAGTGCAAGAAGTGCTGTTGATTGAGCGTAGTGAAACGCAAGTATGGTGCTCGGCAATGGCCTGAATTAGCGGTGGCTGACTTGATTCCGACATTTTTTTCCACACAACTAGCAATTAGATTTCGAAGAAAACTTGACGATGACTACAAAATGAGCATAAATTGTAGTGAAGTGGGTAGTGAAGTGGGATATAATATTTTTATTGTGCCTCACTTATCATCCTATTTGGTCGATAATGCTGCTTAATAATTGGAAAGTTGTTGGAAGAATTTTGTGAATAGTGACGCCGAAATAAGTATAATGATGGTGACAAAGCTGAGGCAAGAGTTGGACTCTTTGTCCTTAAGTCGAATTTGCCCCGCAACGGTGCCTACGGATTTCGGCAATCGACTCCCAAGATACAACGGCTACACTTGTGTTTGTAGCACTCCAAAACACAAGTACAACGAACCAAATGTAGGCTTATGTACTCCACAGATGAAATGAAAGAAAATCAAAATAAATGAAATGATTTTGATTTTGGATAGAAGAGAGGATGAGAGACGTTTTTGCATATCAAACTGTGAGGAATAGGACACCCAAAGGGTCCTATTTATAGACCATGAAGGGGTGTGGACGAAATGGTTGAGGCCAAACCATGCACCCTTTCCAAACAATGCACCTTTATGAAAAGGTGTCTATTCACTAATGGTTGAGGTCTTTTTCGTAATTTCTCATTCATCCGATATTGGTTTTCGAAATGCCAAATATACCCTTCAATACATGCAGAGAAATCAAAATTTTCTTTCAGGGGCGTTGCCCCCGACCCCCCACGAGGGGCGCTGCCCCCTCGATCCTCGCGACCTGACCGGGCAGGTCGATCCCCGTTTGTGCGCCCCGAAGCGGCGAAGTGGCAAACAATTTTGCTTAAATAGACTGAGTCGAGCTTTTGAGTATTTGACCGAATTCGATACGAACTTTAATCGATTTTCAATTCTCAATTTATTTAACCAATATCTAACAAAAGTTTGATATCATTCTCTGCCATTTGAACTTAACAGTGCCCTGTCATCTAATATTTGCTTGGGCTAGTTTATTTCCTAGAGCACCTAACATAGTAGGTGTTTGATGTGTGATGTAAGTGGCCAATACAGACACATTGAGTATTTGTGTGATGTAATCTATCTATGAGTACATTTTTGTCATCTTAAATTCATGGGTTATAAACATGTTATTGTAGCTTATAAAATCTCAACATAAATGTGACTTATTGAATTTGTTATCTGTATTGTATGTGATCATATTAAGTTTATCAATGGACTATTTGTGATCAGGTATATGTATGCTCGTATTCTCTATGATCAATATTGTGTAAGTTATTATCGTTTGCAACCAAATATGTATTAATTGTGCTTGTCTGTAACCAATTGTGACCATATGTGTCTTAATGTGTCTGTATATGATCAAGTCTGTTACAACATTGAATGTTTGTGATTAGATATGTGTAAACTATTATTTTTGTGACTAGATTTGCATAAGTTGTTATTGTTTGTGACAAAGTCTGTCTTCACTGTGATTCTGTGTCCACATTTATCCAAATTTTAATTGTCTGTGGCCATGCCTTTCTTAAATGTGATTGT